GCTAGTCAACCACAGCCAGATAAGAACCCTGGCCACAGGAACTCTCATTTTATCCACAGCGTTTTAGCCCCAAGCAAGTTTACTATGAATTCAGTGAGACTGAGAAATGACAACAGAATGTTCTTGAGTAAAAGGGTTGTTTTCCCAGCAATAGGTCGAGCACTAGAATCATGTCTGCATCCAGCACTCTGCATGTCTGTAATCCACCTCCATTTCTGCCTCTGCTCAGAGCACTGGGAAGAGCTCTTTATATAGTGACTTAGTCAATAATAGCTCATTGCCTATGGATGTGGGAGCATTAGCTTAGCAGCAGGCCAATTACATCATCAAGTAGTTTAGGGTCAGGGGAGGATCCTGGCCATAGAAACTTCCATTTTCCCCAGAGTAACAAACCATCTCTTCAGTGACAATCATCTCCTGATGTATTAGCCTCATCATACCTGAATAATAATGAAACTTACATTTTAAAACAGTAACTTGGGGCAGGAAATACAACAAAGTGAACTATCAGGTTTTTGCAGCTGATTTAAGTCACTCACTGTTCTTAATCATTTCTGAGCCTTCTAGGGGCTAAATCTATATTGCCCACCATCAAGCCAGAAAGATCCAGAAATGTACCCACACTTACTGGACTAACAGCTCCTCAGAGAGGCTGAATGGGACAGTGCTGATGGAATGCCATCTCCTTTGCTTTGAGACCTAGCAACATCCTGGTCCCAAAGGCCAAGAGAACAAACCCTGGGGAGTCCTATAGGGGAGAGGGGCACTTGGGACCCATTGCTAGGGCTTCCTTTCCCTCGGAGGAACCCCCAATAGAGTCCCTTGTGTCCCCCCCCCACAGATTCCAGATGTATCTGGTGAGTTTGGAGAGGAGCTGGAATGTTCAGCTGAGTTCTCTTCAGGAGCCTGGCTGCTCCCACAGAAGCAAGTTTGCTCCACTTCTTCCCATATTCTTGCAAAGACCTCACCCCAAATTGGGGCCAGCTGTTCTCCAGCTGTGTTGAGCTCTAGGATTCGGTATTTAAGCCCTTTGTTGCTGCATATGTAAGCCACACTTGTGATGTCATAGTTAAACTAAATGAGCCTGGGGTCCCTCATCTCTAAAATGCAGGTTATAATATCTGCCTTGTAGATTTTTTTAAAGCATTAAATTGAGTAAAGCATAGCATCTTGCATTGTAGACAGTTAAATGTGGGTTTCCTCTTCTTTGTTCTTGCTTTTTGTCCCCCACGTCTAATGCTCTTTCTGCCCTAGACCTTGGAGCTGGCCCGGTAGCTCTTGGCCCCACATAGCTGGGCTCCTTAGCCTCCCTCAGGGGCCTGGCAACTGTAGGCTGGGCTGTTTCTGAAGACCCAATAGGTAGATTCTTTGCAGAAGCTTTGCTGAGCTTTACTTTGTGCAAAGAAGAACGAGGAAGTGGTTTCTGCCTGCACCCGGGGAGGAGGCAAGCCCACTCCCAGGCCGAGCACCCTGGGAGAGGAGCTGCAGGCCCACCCCCACCACTGTAGGCTGACTGACCACAGGAGCCACAGAACAGGGAGCTTCTGAGAGCACACAGGGAGGCTCCTGGCACCACGGCGGACAGAGCTCTGCAGACCGGGGTGCAGGGACTCCCTGTCCCGGGAAACCACCCTCTGTGGGGTGGTGGGGCTTGCCTGGAGGCCAGTGGCAGTAAGAAGGAGCCCTGCAGAGGGGGCATGGGTGGCAGACAGGTACAACAAGAACAGGAAAACAACCACAAACACACGAGGCCCATGAATGTGTCCAAGTGAGCTACTGGTACCACTCTCCTTTCAAAAATGTCACAATTCCTGAGTCACACTTACATCATCCTTGATATCATAAATGCAGTGTCCAGAATTCCCCACTGTCTCCTCCTTTTTCTGTTAGCACACCCCACACTTCTGGGTCCTGGAGCGGGAAATGTGTGGCTCCTGTGGCCACAGTGGGGTCTAGAAAGTCGTTAGTGGTTCTTTTCTGGCTGCAGTCAGCTTCTTTTCTGGGTTATTGCTGAAGCTGCCAAAATCTGCAGGTGGGGAACTCCGAAGAGCCCCAGAAGAGGGGTCCCAGGCCAGAGGAGGCAGGGAAGCCTCGGCACCGAGGCCTGACACCAGGCCTGACGCCCGGGCCAACCAGGGCGGAAGGCCCCCGAGCAGCAGGGAGTGAAGCCCTCGCCCTCCTTCCCTCACAGACCTGGTTTGAGGACCTGGTTTCCACCTCCTTCACGCTGAAGGTCACGATGCCACCAGGCCCTCTGCCTGCCCCTCCTCACCTCCTGCTCCTCCTCCTATGCTTTAAAGAACAGGCGAGGGAGGGGACAGAGCACAGTAACAGAGGAATACAAAAGCTCGGGTCACACTCTGCCCGTGATTTGCTTGGTCTAAACCAGTGGGCAGCAAGCTTCTGTTAAGGAGCAGATAGAGCCCCTTTCAGACTTTGCTGTCCCCATTCGACTCTGTCCTCAAAGAGCAAAAAGCAGCCACACCTAACAGAGGGGCATCTCTTTGTCCTAAAAAAACTTAATTTGCAGAAACAGAGCACAGGCAGGATTTGGCCAGAAGGTTGTAATGTGTCAACCTTGGTTTAATCAATGCAACTGTTTTTATTCCTGTATATTCCCCTATGTTTCTAATTATTGAATACTAGCATTCCAAGGCAGTTCTTGTCATTGTCCCCATTTTTCATAAGAGCAGACTGACTTAATGTAAAATTAAAGGACTTGCCCCAGATCACAGAGATGCCACAGGGTAAAGCTTGAATTGAACCCAAGAAACCTGTCTTCAAACCTTCATTCCTTCTTTTTCTAGCCGCAAACATATTCTAATATTGTAACCATGTAAATTGCATAAAACAATGCACAATTTTTCTTTAACGTCACATATTTCAGTCGCATGTTCTTGATAATTATAATTTATAATTGATGAATAATTCTTCATCATTGGGGTAGTAAATTTCACTGAACTATTTTGTGTATCTGATCATTTCCTTTCACCGAATTATTTCTAAGATAAATCCCCAAGAGCAGCCTATGGGCATCTCTATGACCCCTGCAGTGGGAGGCCAGAGAGAGGAGGGCTGAGCTGATGTGCCTATGGTGTCAATACTCCCACAGTAGCCAATTTTAAGCTACCAACATGCCATCACTGTTTTGTTTGACTTTCCACAAAAATTCAACCGAATTTCCATCTAATTTTAGATTCTACATATAAGTGAAATCATATGGTATTTCTTTCTTACACTGGTTTTTGCCATAGGGAGATGGGCAAAATTTGGTAGGGGGGACGAAGAGGTACAAACTCTCAGTTTTAAAATAAGTAAGTCACAGGGATAAAAAGTCAGCAGAGGGAATATAGTCGCTAGTCATATCGTAATAGCTTTGTATGGTGACAGGTGGTATCATGGTGACCATTTTGTAACATATGTAATTGCTTATGTTGAACTCCTGAAACTAATATGACATTGTACATCCACTATCCTTTAATTTAAAAAACAAACAAACAAACATGATGTTACTGAACAGCATCGGGAAGAGAGCCACGCTCAGCTCTTACAAGTAGGTGCAAGCTAGACCCGGCACCCACTGGCTGCACACATTGCCTTTTTACGTCTAGTACCAAATTATAAACGCACTTACAGGGAGTGAGCAACTGTTTCGAAATGATTTTAAGATCCACTTTTAGAACTTGATAGTTTGCGAGTGCTTTGGTATCTCAGTGTGGCTTCTGATTGATTTTTTACTGAGACAGATCATTTTTCCACAGCTCCTTTATATGTGTTTCTTCTGAAAATTCTCTACTCATGCTATCTCATCTATTAGGGTCATGATGCCTTTCTGGAAACTCTGAATAACTCTATGCGTTATTATTAATTCTTGGAACTAGCCTGACATGATTTCTTTACATTTTGCTTTATTATCTTGCTATATGGAAATTATAATGTACTGAAGCCTATCAATCTGTCCTCTGGCAATTCATTTATTGGTAGTGAACACAAGAAATTTCATCCTATTTTCATCTATTGTATACATATTTATTAAATGCACAGGATATGGTAGGCATAAGTCAAGGTAGCAGAGATACAGCCATGACCAAAATGACATCTCTGCCCTGGTGGAGCTCCCATTCCAGTGGGAAAATAGACATAAAATAAACAAGCAAGTATATAACAGAAGGTCTGGTGGTGATAAGAGCTTTAATGACACGAAACCAAGTGAGGGGACAGAGAGAGATGGAAAGAGGGGCTTATCCAGTGTTGGATGTAAAGGAATAAACTTTACATCTGAGAAGGTCAGATTTGAACAAAGACTTGTGTAGGTGAATGCTAATTTTCCTGCAATTTGTTTTTTTTTTTAATTTAACGCACACATTTAACTGGAATTTATTTTTGGTATGTGACAAAGAGGAGAATTTTTTCTAATATGTATGCAGTTACCTCAATACCTTTCCTTTCTTCTTATTTTTGGAAGCTTAGTTATGAAGTTGAGTCCAGTCATCAGCTCACTAACATGAGTATTCTCATGTGTGTTTCCTGAAGGCTTATTCTAATTGCTATTTAATCATCCATTTGAAAAGCTTTCACCAATTCTTGCTGACTCTTCTTCTTTGGCATTTCTAATGGATCCTTTCCAATCTCAAAAAGAAATTCCATCTTCTTGAAAAGGCAAACTATGTCTTAACCATCTTTGTATCTGTAACACCTCCCATGGTGCAAAGTCAAAATAGACTAGTAATACATTTTTGTAAATGATTAATGGATGAATTTTGAATACCTCATTTAGATGTTTTCAACTCTTATGTGGGCCTAAAGGTGCCTCACTCTTTTAAATAGGTCATAGGGAACAGAGATACCCCATATACCCATGTGCACACTTGTGCCTGTCATTCAGTATCAAAATAAACTTTACAGAGTTCTTCAGCCCATTACTACAAACCCGCTATAAACATAGCAGGTTTGTTAAACAACTGGGGAAAAGAAAGAGTCCCTCAAAAAGGCAGAGCCACTTCCATAGGAAAAGCCACCCTGGTGTCTGAATTATTTTATTTCCTTTACTTTACTCCTTTACTCGGGTAGGATGGGAAACCTTGCTGTCCAGTCTTTAATGCCGTCAGACCATATGCTTTTCCAACTCTGCGTTTCCATCGTCTGTGCATCCAAATTCCCCCCAAAACCAGGAAGACCAGCAAAAGGGGGGCCAGTGCAATCCCCCAGGAGAATGTGGCAGCTGTAGAAAGAACAGAGTCACACCGTGGGTCGAACGTTCTCTCACCACCCAGTGGGACAGTGAACTGAAGGTTACAGAGAAGGAAAGGATTGGCGTCTGTTGGTTCTTCCTAATAAATAGGCATTGATTTTCAGAAAGTATGTTCCTCACACCACGAGCAAAGTTACCTGGGAATGGCTAACGGCCGCACTAGGGTAACAACAAGGGAGAATCAAAACCCATCCGACAGAAGCAACACAGGGTGGGAGCTGTCCCACCCACTGAAGAGTGTGCAATAAGGTGCCATCTGTTCGAGTTTTAACTAGCCAACTGTGGCTTGGCCAGGGTACAATGTGCTCTTTTCCAATGAGTACAGATGTCATGAGGTTTGAATAAAATAACAAAGAAAACAAACTTTGAATAAAGGAGCATTAAGGGTCAAGATGACTGTTTGGGAACAGCTATTTTATATTCTACTCCTTGGCATCCCTGGGTTAGGAAAACATAGGAAGAGACTATGAAAAAAAGGTTAAGTAGTAAACACAAGAACGTGTTATTAGACACATTGACAATGAGGCTGGAATTCTGGAAATCTACATTTTTAGGCCACTGTTTATCATAGTCTAGCTAGATGTCCAAGAATCAGCCAGTCTCAGGCTACTTCTCCAGAGAATTCTTATACTTTAAAATCCTACAAGGCTTAGAATGAGCAAAGCTTTAATAATCCGAGCAGCCATGTGGATGCTTAGCTGGGGTAAGGCCTTCAGCTGTGCCCTCTGCAATCAGCTGTGGCCAACCCAGTGAAGGCCGTGCTGCATGGAGCTTGTGTTACAGAAGTGTTTAAAAGTTCCCAGCATCAGGACCGGACAAACCACAGGTCCCTTTGGGTCACTAATCTGAACCCCAGCAGTAGGTTCCATGTGCTGTGGAGTCCTCCACTTCCAAGCCTGTACCATCACCAACTCCCTCATGGAAATGATCAGAAGCACCGTCCTTTGCATATACACCCTAGGACAGTGGTTCTCAAACTTCAAACGAAAGGAGCTTGTTGAACTGCTGCTTTGGCCTCACACCACAGCCCAGAGGGGATGCTGGTGGTGGCCAGATCACAGCTAGAGAAAAGTTGTGTTGTGTTGCCATTCTCTGCCCTGGGTCCTAACCAAATCCTCAGCTTTCTGATTAGAAGTGTGTCTGCTGCTGCCCCACAGCAAATACAGAGAATGCGGAGCAGGCCATGTTTATCTGGCATCTGCGGACTGCCCAGAGGCATGACAGATTCCAGCCGGGGTTACTTCGGCTTGTCCCTTGTCATCCTCTAGGGCTATCGACAGACTACATCACCTGCAGCTCCCTTTCCTGTTCAGTGCCTAAACACTGAGAAGAAGTCAGTTTGGTCAAAATAAAAACATGGATTTTTCTTTTCTTTTTCCTTAAACACCCTTAAATGACACCAGATTGAGTTGGCTGTTGTCTTGCACTTCATTTCCTGTTAATTGATGACTTTAACTCTAAGCTGCCCTGAGCCCTGGGTATCTCCTGTCTCCTAGCTCTTGGAGAATGAAGTTTCTCAACTTCAGGATAAAGACACATTTCTCAAGGTATCATGAGAGGCCAGTTGGTCCTGCTGGCCAGGGCAGAACAACACAGTGATTTTTTAAAGTTTATCACAGAATTCTTTTATCTTTTTTCCAAAAATCAGCTTACTATTTAAGTAAGTACTATTTTTGAGTTTAATCTCCCAAAGCCAGCCTCCACCCTGCCAAAAAAGGTCATAAAAAATGAGAGATTTGCTATCAGTGGTCAAGTAACCGGAAACACAAGGGACTTCCTAAGTAATCATCTTGAAGAACTAGCAGCTTGTCTAGCACCCAGAGAATATTTAACAAATTGTCCCCTTTAATGTCTGCAAGATACATACCTTCTTTGACTGTGGTACGTAGCATCTGAAAACTCAGTGTATTATGGACAACACATTTAAAATCCGTGTTCAAATCCTCTCTTATGACTGGATCAAAAATCAATGGCACTTCAATGTAGTTCTCATTATTTTCTGAGTATTCCCTGTGTGAAAAAACATCTCCTTAAAGATGACGTATCAAATACAAGCTCAACTTGACAGCCTAGACATGCAAACATTCTCAACTGGAGGGTTCCTTGGCGCCTAAATCAACGTCCAGATCCATGAAGTCGGGAGGCCCTGCCATCATCCTGGTCACTTACACGGGAGAAGTTCTAAGCCTGTTCCCCACAATAGGTGTGACAGTGATGATGTTGGTCACTGTACAAGGACACATGCTACAAGAACTTACAGAGCCAGTTTACTTTGGATAATGGAAAAATTCATTTGTTAAGGCCTTTGACGAACAAAGTATCAGTAATGGGAATAGAAATGTGTAGTTTTGGGAAACCCGACTGCACAATAGCAAATCATTTGCATATTGAAGGGAATTTCCAGGAATCCAGGCCTCGGAGATGTCTCCTCCTCTCATCTTCACTGCCAACTCTCACCCTAGAAACTCAAGTTCAGAGCAGAGGGCTGCAGTTAGGCCGGGGGAATGGCTGTAGTCAGTACAACCACCACTTGGAAGGTGACAGGAATCTGAAGATTCTTTAGTACTATTAGTGTGAATAAATAAAAATACTGCTAGTGTGGTACTACTAAGACTTTTTTGATTAATCTGTGGAGGAAAACTAGGCTCCTGGAAGTAAATGGTTAGGATGAGTAAGCTAACATGGGGCATGTGAGCAGTGCCCACACTTTTCGCAACAAAGACTTGCAAGCAACAATTCTCCTAACCACACAGAATTTGTGTCTGCTACATTGCATCCAGAAAGACCTTTTCAGATAAGTCTTCCAAAAAAGACAAAAACCTGGCAGGCAAAAGTTCAGGCTAATTCAGAATATTGAAACTATAATTGAAAAAATATTTTATAATTGGTAACATTAAATGTTCTCCCTTTCTCAAACTACAAATCGTTCCCATTTGCAAGGTCTGATTATTCTCCTTGCAGAGTGAGGAAACATTTTCCAGAGAGGAATGCTCATCAGAACAGAATTTTCTTTCTTTTAATGTTAGCCTCCCTCAGAGACTGTGGCAACTCCCAGTCCCCTGAGAAAGAGAGGAGGCTCTCAGACACTATCTGACACTTTTTAAAGGTTTGTGAAAATGTTTGACACTTGGGTTACAGAGTGGGGAATGGAAAGGTATTGACTGCAAAGTATTTTTTTTATAACTGCAAAACCAAGAAATAAATATAGAATGAAACAGCCGAAAAATGCAACCTCAATTCCTAGGAGTCAATTGCAGTGCAACTCCTATACAGTCATCCAGAAAGTGGGATTCTCAAAAAACAAATTGGTAATTCTTTGCAAAACTCAATTGTTTTAATTCTAAAACTCTGACAGTTTAGAATCCAAAAATACATATTTTTAATGTGTTATGTGTATAATACTGATAGGTTGGATACGACATCATCTCTAGAAGCAAGAGTGAAGCCTGCAGACGTCTCACAACAGCTCTGCCCGGAAGAGACTTCTGTGCCGACAGAGAAGGCCCTGCCCACTCACTGGCGCAGCCCCTCGCTCACACGGCCACCATGGTAGGCGCGGTCTATGTTCGTGCTGTTGGCCATCCACCACAGTGTGGTAGTCGACTGTGTGCCGGCTCCGAGAAACACCTTACACGGGATTGTCAGTCTTGACCCTAGGGATTGCAAGACACAGCACATCCAGTGTCAGAACCCAGCTGGGGAACAGGGTCACCCCAGTTCCGTGTGTCCATCAGCAAGTCTGAGTGGTGGGCCCATCCCCTTCCAGGGCCTCAAACACTCCTCACCGCCAGGTCTTTCCTTAGACTGAAACCTGGTTCCCTAAAGCGATTCCATCATGTTTAGCATCTGGATCTACCAAGCGTCCCTAGTCCCTCTGACTGGTCATTGCAGATGAAAACCCAAAGGCACGTGGCTTCCCCAAGGCCACTCAGCTCCTACAGGGCACCCTGAACTCAAGGGTTACCTTCTTCCACAAAAATCCAGGTGAGTGTGTGCATTCTTTCTTTCTCCCTGCTCATTGCTGGTCTCAGCTCTCATGTTCCCCCTGGGAACTCTCCATTCCCAGATCATGTTCATTTAGGATTAACCCTCACTTATTAGCCACGTATTTATGTGAGTGATGCCTTCTGCAGTCATCTATTGCAATGGACTGGGTCCTCCTGCCTCATCACTAGTGATTGTATTTTTTGAGTCCAAGAAGGAGAGGAAGGAAAGGAAATGAGCAGATCCTTCCCATTTGTCTTGTCCTCAAATGGGGGAGACATGTCACTCGTCCACGGGTGACATGCCTCCCTGTGCTGTGTCTTTTAAAGCACCTGCCCCGCTTCAGGCTCAGAATGCCAGCTCTTATCCTTCCTTCACCACCCCTGGTGACCTTCAAGATTCCTTAGCCAAAAGCAACCTATTGTTTGTGGCTTCTATGTGCCTCTGCCATGCACACCAGGGCATTCAAGCAATGGCGTGGGAAACCCAGTTGCTCTCAGCCAGGGAACACCAAGGAGCCAGGGAGCTGCACCCCAGTCAACACTAACCCATGTGCCCAGGTGGTCATGCTGAGAGCCCAGGCAGCTGCCGGGAGCTGCAAGCCCCACGTCAGGCAGCAACCCCAGGTCTTCCCCAAAGAACCCTCCTCTACGGTCACCAATTAAAATTTAAAATACCAATACCAAACAGACGAAATGATCGATTGATAGATAGAGATGATAAAGATAGAAAAGGAGGTAGAGAGACAGAACTTTGCAGCCAGGGTTTAATAAATGAACATAAGACCTAAAAACAAAGACACAGGTTTCACAGACACACACGACTGAGTCTGAACCCAAGCCTGACCCGAGTGTGGCTTTTTGACTTTCACTGAGCCACCATGACCCTGAGCAGCTTTTCCTTCTGGAAAATGGGAGAAGTAAGATCTTCCTACAAGGCAGAAGTCATGATTGACTGGGACCTGTTAGACACAGTAATGGCCAATAGGGAAGTGTGTGCTGGCCCAGACAGCCTGTGCCAAAACAGGGTGAAAGATGGAAAACTGTCAATCATTTTCATCACCCCACTCGACCAGCTATTTTGGCAACAGGAAACCATCTCTGAGGGGCCAGCAGTGGCAGGTCAGCCTCACCTCACAAATGGAGTCTCAGGGAAAGGATGTGCATCAGCCAAATTTTGGTAAAGTGAGCTATTTGAAATATCCTACAGGTACCAGTCTTGTGAGGGAATCACATTGTTAATCCTCTCATGCAGGTAATAACTGCTGTCAAATTTCAGATTTTTATGTTGAGATTTTTGTAGGAGGGGTTTTCCTGAAACAAAGGATACCTGTTTCCTAACAATGCTATTTCTAGCAGTCTCGACAAAGGGAAATGTCTGCTCACATTCATTATCTCAACCCCTCACAGGAAGGTCCTAGAGTCCCCCCCAAGCATGCTGCACACCAAAGGGGCCAGTGCAGTCAGCAGACACAAGGCGGGACCCCAGGGTCTGGGGTTACAGGCACCCCTGTGGGTTATGAAGTCTTTTCGGGCCTTACCCAGTGAAGCTAATATGGTCTGGTGGGGGGAGATAATCACAGGAATTGTCTCCTCTTCTTTTTCTGAGAAAGATAGGAGGAAAAGAGATTCAATCAGGAAAGCCTTCATTGCAAGCTAAATTCACGTCCCATTGTTTAGCAAATTAAATAGGTTATCTTTTACAGTATGGCCAGCCATTGTGAGATTCAGCCTTTGTGTGGCAAAGGAAACAGGCTCTCCACAACATTGAGCATCTTTGGCCACTGCCTTTCCCAGAAGAGAGATTACTGGAAGAGGTCACAATTAAATACCCAGCCCGCTGACACATGGTCTTTGCTCTGGGGTAAATGATTAACCATCCCCTCCCTGGTCTCCCCACTGAATTCTTCATAGTAACATTCAGGATGGCCTCAGAAAAGGGTTTACCCTGAAATCTACTTGCCCTAAAATATCTCCCTCCACTCAGTCCCTGTCTCCTGAGTGCCTGCCACAGAATACTGAAGTTATGATTTTTTTTTAAAGGCAGAGGGTCAGGGAACGACATGTGTGTAATGCTAATCCTACACTGAGTGACAGAGTCACCCAGCATCAGCCACTGTGTCTTGTTCACCGAGGCAGAGGTGGCTGTCCAGGAATGGGATCCCAGCTCTCCAAGAGGCAGGACTCCCAGCAGCCTGAAGAGACTGGGCTCCTGAACTGGCGCAAAAAGGGCAGCTGGAAGGTGGGAGTAGGGGGGCTGGCAGTCCCCCAGCTGATCCCCTCTCTTTCACTAAAGGGAAGTAAATCCTCAGCTGAGTAATCACTAGTCAGCATCACCGTAGAGCTCAAGGAGCAGGGGGCTTCTGGACCGCGCCACCTGCCCTCCGGGAGGCGGGAGCACCCGAGAGAGAGAGCCAGAAGCCTCGGGGACTAGATGCCCACCCGTGCTTCTCAAACGTGAGGATGCATCAGCTTGGCAGGGGGCTCCTCCAACACAGACTGCTGCGCCCCCCTACCTCCCATTTCCCAGACGGGGATCACTGCATGTGCGATGCGCACCCAGGCGACGCCGCCGCCGGCCCAGAACCACCTTTTGGGACCGCTGAGACCTGGCGCGATCACAACACGCGGCGATGTAGGCTTGCCGCCCCCTAGTGTTGCTGTGCAGTATCGCACAAACTGGAGAGTAATGTCCCTTCAAAGGGACAGGAAATCCCATGATTCGCCTATGGGGGAGCGAGGAGCTGGCCTGCACGAATTCTCCGGCAAGGCAATAAAAGAAATACAATTGAAACATTTCAGTTCATGGGAAACACGAACTACCACTTCCCTGTAGTAAACCTGAATCCCAGGATTCTCTGTGTGAAAAGCCTTTTCCCCTTATAAACCAATTATTTGACCTTAATATATTTCCAATGCTCCCTAAATGCCCTTAAAACACTTCAATTGTGTAGTTATTCAATATATAAAGCAAAGAAAAGCGGTCTCCTCTGCAAGGTAGAGTCCAGAATTTAATCCCTCCTATGCCTCCTGCAGCATTGCTGTCCATGGAGTAAACGTTGAACGCATTTTAAATATTGATCCACGCAGCTCATGAAACTATTTTCAAGTAGAATTCATTTAAACCAATGGGAGCCCTCACTATTCGAAATCCTGGTTTCAAGGGCAACTAGACATGCCTTGGGGAAGACCCAAAAAGGGCAATTTCCACTAGATATGCCAATGTAAAACCCGAAAAAGCCAATAAAATCTTGGTATCCTAGAATTATACAGAAAAGCACGGTGACCGTGTTCTTGCGGGGCCTCCAAACGGGGCTTTCCGGAGGGATGAGTTTTGGGCTCCCTCTAGTGGTGTGATGTAGCCTCAGCCGTGGAACCCTACCAACTGACCCGGGATTCGCTTTTCCTCCTTAACAGCCCTGCTTGCTCCCTTTCAAAGGGCCCCAAACACGTCTCATTAGCCTGATGCTTCAGGAGAGGGGACATACCTGTACTCCTTTCATACCAAAGACATTCAAGGAATTCTATGCGAGGACTAATTCGTTCTTTGCGTGCTTGCTATTGAACCAGAGCACTTACTGTTCACCTGGAGTCTGATATTCCTAGTGATGTTGTATTGTGCGCCGTTGTGGACAAACGTCATGGCGCAGCTGTAGTAGCCGGCGTCCTCTACAGACACATTGTGTATGAGCAAGCGAGCCGTTCCCTTCACACTGAGAAACTTCTCGTTGTCCTGATCCAAAAGGACAGAATCCTGAAGGGAAAATTTTTTTTAGAGTTACACTACATACCCACTTGCAGCTCAGAAGCTATGGACAGCATCAGGGTGATCGGTCAGTGTTGAGTTTGCAACCCAAGAATCACTGTAGTGCTCACTTTGCAAGTATTATACTTTGGGCATACTTTGCACTGTATTTTTAGGAAAGGGAATTTGTTAACATAAAGCAAAGTTGTGGGATTTGCTTAGCCATGAAGTTTAAAGCACATTTGCTGAAATACAATAGGAGAAAAAGAAAGTATCCCTTCTTTGAAAAAGTAAGCCATTTAAAATACAAATGTATTTATGGCCTTACTGCTGCCTATAGACCTTGGAAATGGCCAGGTAAGAGCATCATATAGTCACAATGATTTGTAAAGCAATGTTTAGAAGAGATTATGTTTCTGTAACTTTAAGAATCATTTCAATTTTAGGGATCAGTAGAGTAGAGATAGAGGGATTTTTTTAAGAAAACGCTGTATTTAAGAAATGAGGCCACTCTTTGCATATGGACAGAAGGTGCTATGGGTGCTGCACAACAGAACCCACCAGAGCAAGACCCCCAGTAACATAGAAGATGTTGGATGGGGTTTTAAAAACACCCTAATGATCACAAAATGTTCCCAGGAACATGTCTTTCATGACCATGATGATCAAAAGCTTGCAATAGTCAAATATAACCTTGAGTCATTTCAGAATCTTACTCTAAATGGGAACACAGACATAATTGGAACGGTGTGTCAGCCACATAACTCATAAAGTATTATTTTACAATGTATTTAATTACAAGACGAGATTGTATTGTTCCTCACATGAGAGGTCAAATATAAAAATCCAAACAGGCCCACAACACAGTTTTCCCAAGACCCGTGAGCCACCAGCAGGATATGAGCTCTGGTCTCCCAGGTTAGAGTTCTGGCTCACCAGCCACCAGCTGTGCAACCATGGGCAAGCTCCTTACATTTCTGTAAATCCATTTCCTACTCTGTACAATAGAGACATGAACAGGCCCTACTCCACAGGGTTACATGTCAGGGTGTAGACTTGTGCATGGTACGTGCTCGGTAGGGATTAGCATTACTAGGAAGTAACAACGATTATGAAGCACCACTATGAGTTTCTTGTCCACCCACATTTATTGAGCACCATCTGCATGCCAAGCATTGAGTAGGTGCTTCGTACACAGAACTCCATTTAATCGTCAAAACAACCCCAGGACTGGGAATGATGAATTGTCATCTTGCAGAGGTAACAGGTACGAAAGGTGAGATAGCATGGTCAGGACTGCACGACAGGTGAATGAGGGGACAGGGTCTTAAACCCAAGGTGGGTCAGCTGCAGAACCTGTGCTCTGTCCTCTACAGGTAAACCTGTCACTTATCCTCTTTGTGCTCTTCCTAAACCAAGAGAAAATTCATTTCATCATTGGGCTGGCTAATTCATAGAAGCTGGCTACTTTCCTCTACTTTCAGAAAAACCATTTCAAAGTTTCTGATATTAAATTGATATCCCGTAACTATCTTGTAGTTACAATACAGTCAACTGCTTAAATAATTCTTGATTGAAGGATAAATTTCTATCAAGTTTTAAACAAATAACTGTACTTTTTAGTATCAATTCATGGTCTATATCAGGGGGGTCAGTAAATTTTTTCTGTAAAAGACCAGATATTAAATTCTTCAGGCCTACAGTCTACATGCTCTCTGTCCAACTGCTCAGCTCTGCGGTTAATGTGTATAAAAGTTGTTAAATAAAGTAAGTGTTTTTTCTAAGTTTTTATAGACAAACAATAGGGTGAAAAGCTATTTTCTTCAGCTGTTATTAATTTTGCAATCGTTTTACATTCAATCTTCTCAAATCACTATTCTGAGACTCTTACCCAAGCCTCATAAAGACTAACAGAACATACTAATCCCAACTCTTTCAAAAATAACTGGATTTAAAAGTGAATGTGCTGTCTTCAGAATGAGTATTTTATATATTTCCTATGGCCAGTAAAACACATTTTAATTAAATGGCAATTTTTAAAGATATACCTTGTACCATTGAAGCTTCATGTCAGTTTTATTATGGGTGAATTCACTCAGCTCAGGGCAAACTAATGGCCCTGAGGTTGACAAGGTTAGAATTTGCGGGTATGAGATGAAAGGCAGGGAAGCTTCTGTCTTCTCAAAAACTCTGAGCTCAACGGACATTTCATCACAGTAAGAGGCATTTCTGGTTTAAAAGGGGAAAAAAGGGATAATAAATGGCAAGGCAAAATAAAAGTTAAACTCAATGAAATTAACGATCATTTCCCCAGTTCCATTAAATTCTGCATTCTGCATTTTCTTGATTAGTACTGCAATACTACTGTCCCTATCCTTTTAAATCCTTGGATGACAAAAAAAAAAAACTCCCACATTATAATTGTTGTGTAAGAATGGTGATGTGTTTTGCATGTTTCCCAAAGGGCCTTCTGCAAGACTGATTTCAACGCCGTCAAGGGTCACTAAGAAATCCCCAGACACTCTTCAAGAAGGCATAAACCCTCCTGGGTTCTGATGGGTCATTGAGCACAGCCCCAATTTGCACCACATTCCTGGTCCAAGAACCATATCCAAACACAGAGACTGTTTCCTAAGAGCCACTGTTTCCATATAATGGCTATTACTTCTCATAGGAATCATTTATCAACTGAAGTCAAATTTCAGAAAACTGCTGAGAATTTTGTGTAATATCTATATAGGCTTTTTGCAGTACTGCATAGGGAACATTAACTTGGTAAGTTTGTTTAGTTTAAAAAAAATTTTTTTTTTTACTGTGATCTCAATATCATAACTCTTTCAAGACTCTAGAATTCAGGAAAGGGCAGAGACAAAACAATGATAGAAACATGGAGGAAATGAGGGAAGGACAGAGGATATTAATTAAAACTGTTTTTCTAAGTACAAAAACGTAAAAATATAATCCTCTCAGCTAAGTTCCTGGCTGCCTAAGAAACAAACATCAATAGAGACAGAGAGAATGTGTGTGGTATGAGGAGGGCCTTGCACAGCAAAACGTAAAGCAATCTACATCCAAAGAAAGATCAAAACATGAAAAATACATATGAAAGAAACAAATGATAATAACTTACTACCTGAAGTAAAAAGAATTAATTCATATATGTAAGGCCAATATTTATGTTTCATATCTAGTTTTAAAAAAAGGAAAAAGAGGAACAAACCTTTATGCACAAAGAAAGGCAGAAAGTTAACTATCACCCTGAAACGTGCATGATCTCACTGCCAGCTGAAGAAAAGCAAATGAGAATGTTTAAAGAACAGAGCATACCTGAAAACTGTCATATTTTTAGATGAGAAAAATTAGGTTTACAGAAACTAAGTCATTTCCTAAGGCTGCATAGCTATGAAGAGGTCAAATCAGGGTTTGAAGCCTGGAAAAACCCGTAATTTAGAGCAATAGCTCCAGAAACCAAGCCTACTAGACATACTGAGAGTTGCAAACCTGTTCTCATTATTGATCTGGTAATTCCCTTTAGGCAAGACACTCTTTGAAGATAACTCAGAAGGAAGATGGGCGGGAGAATAATTTGATCAAGACTCATGTTCTCCATGTGGGTATCCCCACTGCAAATGGGTGGTGCTCATTAGTACTCTTCACCAAATATGTCCACCTGCCTCCATCCTGAGCACACAGTGGGATTACACACTCTGCTCCCCCATGGGTTGGTATGATTACATGCCTACCTTGTTTTATTGTGCTTCACTCCATTGCACCTTGCAGATTCTGTATCTTTCACGAATTGAGGGTGTGAGGCAACCCTGCACTGGAGAAGTCTGTCAGCACCATTTTTCCAACAGCATTTGCTCACTTCATGTCTGTGCCACATTCTTGCAGCATTTCAAATTTTTCATATTAAAATTGTATTTGTTTTGGATTACCTGTGATCAGCGATCTCTGATGTTACTATGTAATTGTTGTGGTGCACCACAAACCAGGCCCATATAAGATGACAAGCTTAATAAATGTTGTGGGTGCCCTGACTGCTCCGCTTAGACAGGCTGCTCCCCTATCTCTCTCCCTCTCATGAGGCCTCCCTATACCTGAGACACAATAATACTGAAATTAGGCCAATCAATAACTGCACAATGGCCTCTAGTGTTCAAGTGAATGGAAGAGTCATACATCTCTTGCTTAAAATTAAAGCTAGAAATAATTAAGCCTAGTGAGGAAGGCATGTCAAAAGCCAAGAAAAGTCGAAAGCCAGGCCTCTCACACCAAACAGACAGCCAAGTTGAAATGCAAAGGAAATGTTCTTAAAGGAAATTAAAAATGCCACTCCAATGGAACACATGAATGATAAAAAAGTGAGATAAGAAATTTGCCTTTTTGCTAATATGGAGGAAGTTTCAGTGGTCTGGATAGAAGATCGAATAAGCCACAACATTCCCTTAAGCCAAAACTTAATCCAGAGCAAAACCCTAACTCTCTTCAATTCTATGAAGGATAAGAGGGGTGAGGAATGTTCATGGAAACAAACAGAGGTTGGTTCATGAGGTTTAAGGAAAGAAGCCATCTCCATAACGTCAAAGACAAGGTGAAGCAGCAAGTGCTGAAGTAGAAACTGCAGCAAGTTATCCAGAAGGTCTAGCTAAAATCACTAATGAAGGTAGCTACACTAAACAACAGATTTTCAATGTAGGCAAAACAGCTTTCTACTGGAAGAAGACACCATCTAGGACTTTCACAGCTAGAGAGGAGAAGTCAATGCATAACTTTATCAGATGGGCTTATTAGGAGCTAATATAGGTGGTGACTTTAAATTAAAGCCAATTCTCATTTACCATTCTGAAAATCTTAGGACCCTTCAGAATTATGCTCAGTCTACTCTGCCTGTGCTCTATAAATGGAAAAACAAAGCCTAGATGACAGCACATCTGTTTACCACATGGCTTACTGAATATTTTAAGCCCACTGGTGAGATCTACTGCTCAGAAAAAAAGATTCCTTTTAAAAGATTACTACTCATCAGTAATGCAACTAGTCACCCAAGAGATAAAGATGTGCCATGCGATGAATGCTGTTTTCATGCCTGCTAACCCAACATCCATTCTGCAGCCTATGAATAAAAGAGTCATTTTGACATTCAAGTCTTTTAATTTAAGAAATACATTTTTTAAGGCTACAGTTACCTTGAAAAGTGAGTCTGTGCAAAGTAAGCTGAAAACTTTCTAGAAAGGATTCTAGATGCCATTAAGAACATTCATGATTCATAGGAAGAGATCAAAATGTCAACATTTGGAAGAAGTTGATTCCGATTCCAACCCTCATGGATGACTTTGAGAGGCTCAAGACTTCAGTGGAAGAAGTCACTACAGATGTGATGGAAATAACAAAAGAACCAGAAGTAGAAGTGGAGCCTGAAGGTATGGTAAAATTTGAGCAAATGAGGAGTTACTTCTTATGGGTGAACAAAGAAAGTGGTTTCCTGAGATGGACTCTGCTCCTGGTGAAGATGCTGTGAAGATGGGTGAAATGACAACAAAGGATTTAGAATATTACATAAATCCAGAATATTACATATTCCAATAGAATATTACATAATCCATTACATATGCTTATTAGTTGAAAAAACAATGGCAGGGTTTGAGAGTATTGACTCTAGTTTTGAAAGAAGTTCTATGGTGGGTAAAATGCTGTCAAACAGCATTACATCCTACAGAGAAATCATTTGGGAAAGGAAGAGTCAGTTGATGTGGCAAACTTCCTTGTTGTCTTATTTTAAGAAATTGCCAGCCTTCAACAGCCACCACCCTGATCGATCAGCAGCCATCAACATCAAGGCAAGACGCTCCACCAGGACAGATTTCAACTCACTGAAAGCTCAGATGATGGTTAAGATTTTTTAAGCAATAAGGTGTTTTTTAATTAGGCATGTACATTGTTTTTTAGACATAATGCTATTGCATACTAATAGGCTATAGCATAGTATAAATATAACTTTTATATGCACTGGAAAACCAAAAAATGTCATTTGACTCATTTTATTGCAGTGGTCTTGAACTGAATGCACAATATTGCTGAGGTGTGCTGTATATGACTCTTTCTAGTCAATGAGTTTTATGGGTGTCACTTCTATACCCAAAGTTTAACAGCCACAAGAAACCCTCCAGCACATGTTTCCTTTTGGTACAGTGGCCAAAAAGACAGAAAGAGCATTTCTGTGTATATACTGACCACCTCTATGGTTCTCCTCATACTAGTAGCTTCATATGCTGTGATTTCACAGAAATCTCCCAACAAATCTCTTTTCAGATGGGAAAACTGAAGCCTATAAATGTCAACTAACAAGAGCAAAGTCCTACCAGATAGAAAATGAAAGTGCTGAGATTCACATCCATATCCTTCTGAAACCAAATTCCATTCTTTTTCTTTTAAATTTTCCAAGAAAAAAAAACTTTTTTCCTTAGAAAAAAATTCAAGATTTTATACCTGTTTGGGAGAAATGAAAACTATGTATTTATAACTACTGTAAAACCAGACATACACACACATTGCCCTGATACAAAAAGAAGAGATTGCTTGCCTGCTTCCTAGTCAGGAAGGGTTGACAGAATTGACCACACACACACATACCATCTAGGACTGAGGCTGATGTTGTCTGAAATTCTCCCATCACCACTAATTCCTATGTGCTCATGTCACTTTCTCTGGTTCTCTTTTTAAATGCAAAATATTCGTGAGTATGGTTTCTCCTTCAGTCAATGAGTTTCTGAAATCTGAAGAGACTCTAAGGCTGGCTGATAGGAGTGAGTAGTCTTAAGGAAGGATAGAGGCATCTTCTGAAGACAGAAGTCCAGAAACACTATTTCCCAATGAGGCCAACAGCCTGCCCTAATCCCTTCAGAAAACCTAAGCCAAGAAATTTTAAAGATCAACAATAGGAGGCCTATAACTTTCTCCTTCAAGAAGCTGCAAGATAGGCCAAAACCATTCAATGGATAAGGACAGTCTTTTCAACAAAAGGTATTAAGAGTACTGGATAACCACATGCAAAAAAATGAAGCTGAAATAGTCCATATCCAGTACCCATATACAAAATTTAACTCAAAATGATTAAAGACCTAAACATGAGAGCTAAAACTATAAATATTCTTAGGAGAAAATACAGGGGAAAAACTTCACAACATTAGATGTGGCAATGATTTGTGGCTACAACATCAAAAGCACAGGCACCCAAGGAAAATAAATAAATAAACTGAACTTCATCAAAATGTAAAATTTCTGTGCATCAAAGGACATCATAAACAGAATAAAAAAGCAACCTATGAAATGGGAGAAATATTTACAAATTATATATCTGCTAAGAGATTGATATCCAGAATATATAAAGAATTTCTACAACTAAGAAAAACAAATAAACAACCATTAACAACCATTCAATTTAAAAATTGGCAAAGGACTTGAAAAGACATTTCTTCAAGGAACATAAATAGTTGGCCAATAAACAGAAAGATGCTCAACATCACTAATCATTAAAGAAAAGCAAGTCAAAACCACAATGAGATACCCCTTCATATCCATTAGGATAGCTATTATCGCGGCCCGACCCCCCAGGAAAAAAGAAAAAAAAGCAGAAAATAAAAACTGTTGATGAGGATGTGGAGAAATTGGAACCCTTGCATATTGGTAGCAATGGAAAATAGAGCAGCCAGTATGGACAACCATAGGAAGGTTCCTCAAAAAATTAAACATAGAATTACCCTATGATCCACCAACTAGGTATATGTCCACAAGAATTAAACGCAGGGACTCAAGTAAACTTCTGTGCACTTACCATGTTCACAGCAGTACTATTCACAATAAAACAAAAAAGGCAGAAGCAATCTAAGTGTTCATTGATAGATAAATAGAATAACCAAAATGTGGTCTATTCATACAATGGAATATTATTCAGTCTTAAAAAGGAAGGAAGTTCTGACACCTGCCACCACATGGATGAAACTTGAGGACATTATGCTGTGTGAAAAAGCCAGTCACGAAAGGCCAAATATTGTGTGATTCTACTCATGTGAGGGACCTAGAGTGGTCAGATTTATAGAGACAGAAAGTAGAGTGGAGGTGGTGAGGAGAGGGCAATGGGGACTCAGTATGTAATGGGTACCAAGTTTCAGTTCTTGCAAGAGGAAAGGAACTCCAGAGATGCGCAGTGGTGATGGCAGTACAACCATGTGCACAAACAACACAAATGACAGAGGTACTTAAAAAGGGTTAAAATGGCCAATTTGATGTTACACATATTACTATAATTAAAGAAAAAGCAACAGGACAAAGAGGGAGGAGGACTAGACCCCAGGTTAGGAGCAGTGGGTTCCAGTCTCAGCTCCACACCCACCACTGGGGAGAACTTTCTAACAGAGCTTGCTTCCCCTACATGTATAAGCAGCCAGAGTGACTCATTCCTAAAGTCTTGTCCAGGTCTCAGATCCTGTTCAGTGCTCTGTATTTATTTCCTGTGTCCATGTGGACTCAGCAGTGAACGAATAAACCAAGTCCCTGTCCTCCTGGCGTTTACATTCCAATGGGGTAAATAAACATTCAATCATAAACACAAATGTGGGTCAGATGAAGGAAAATGGCCGGATGAGGAGAGTGGCAGGGGTGCTGTTTCAAACAATGGCTAGGAAAGTCCTCTCCAAAGAGGTGACATTTGAGCAAAGACTTAAACGGAGGCAGAGGGAGCCATGAGGAATCCAGAGCGAGGCTCCTGGGAAGGAGGTGTTCCAGGAACACCTGAGGACATAAAGTGAATTTGAGCCCAAGGACTGGATTTTAAAATCCAGATCTTGCAGAAGAACCGTACAAAAGCCCGCTCACATGGAGCCCCACTCCTCCACCTCGTCCCCAAGGGGCTCACCTGGCTGTACAGATGTAGGTGCCTGAGTCCCTGCGAAAGGCTGGCAAAATCCACAGAGCATCATCCCGGACCCACACTCGCCTCTCTTCTTCCTCTGGGACTAGCCCAGCAGAATCGTTTCTACGCCAGGTCAGATTGACATCAGGGGTGGCAGAGGCCAACAACCAAGACCGCATCTGGGGGCACCTCAGGACCACAGGCTCCCCTTCCACCCTGAAGTCGGTTTTGAAATGCTTGCCACGAAACTGGCAGTTTCCTGCAGCCACTGAAGGACAGAGAGACCACAGTCAGGCCTCAGCTCAAAACCCCACTTGGATGGGCTTGTCCCTGGAAGCTGTGAGCCCCTAACAGCAGCCAGCCCAGGGGACCCCATGAACCCTTCTTGTTGTGATGATTTTCAAACTTTCAAGTAACAAATTTAGGGCTTCTATCAATTTTGTGGAAAATTTAATCAAGTTCATATGGTGATGAAAACAGCGATTAAAGTGTGGCCATGCTTTTCAGTTGTTCAGTCCTTATCATTACAAGTAGATCTTGGCTAAGTTCAGAGAGAAAGAGCTAAGTTCAGACAGGACAAGTGGTTTAAATCCTAAGGCACCTTTTCCAAAGGGCAAAAATACCACTTCTTCATTTCCCTCCTCTGGCAGGAAGGACCCGTGCCCAGAGCCAGCACTGAGCAGCAGACGAGGGAGCAAAGGAAGCATTTGCCACTCACCAGGCCACGAACACTCCCCTTGCCTTTTGATTACAGCAAAACCTCCCGAGGTAAATGACTGCTGTCCCCAGGGAAGCTGCAGGCAAGGCCTGCCCTAGTCAAAGATTCACTTCTTACCTGTGCGTTCCTTGGGCTGAGTGGCCAAGGCAGAAACACCCATCAACACGTACAAGATGAGCATGGTCCCCAGCACCCTCTGGGGCACACAGGAGGTGGAGAGCTCTGATCCAGTACCCTGCAGCCTAGAGGAGGAGACAGAGGGTCACCAGGAGCCACCGACAACCAAAGAGAGAATTTATCTGAGGATGGTTCCAGGGACATATTCTGGAGGCTCCACCTGATGAAGGAAACTTTTTCACCTAGATTTTTTTAACAAGAAAACTCAAAATGTTTGGATTCACTTCTCTATGGCTATATTCATTGAATACACCTGATATCAAATCCCCAGAGCCCTTAAAAACTGTCTTGGAATAGGGGTTCCATAAGCTGCGTGTCTGTCCACCTCCTGAAGGATGCCTCAGCTCCCTGCCCTGCAGCCTAAGCTGCCGCCCCTCAGCTGAGGCCACTGCTCAGGTCCGCTCCTTCTTCCGGTCTTGGCTCCAACATCACCCTGCATGAGGCCTTCCCTGGCCTTCCTGCATAAAACTGCAGCATCCTCTGCCCTGGTACCCATATTTCCTTTCCTGCTGCGTTGCTCTCCGAGGCATTCATCACCTGCCACGTCTCCTTGCTCGAGAATGTAAGTTCCATATGTAACCTCAAGGATCCTACTTTATTCAAGCCACCATTATACTTGCAGAATGAATCTCTAGAAGTCAAAAGGCCCTCATATTTTATTCATCAGAGAACTTTTTCTATAGTCCTTATGGCTTAACTTTTATTTTACATAAAATTCTGATGTATGCTGAGGGTTTCCATATACTGTTAAGTCTCCTATCTAGAGCGTTCCAGAGAAAAGAGCAAAACAAGGTCCCTAAAGGGAACAATTTACATAGTTCACGAACATTCCTCCCCATAAGCCTCCCCAAGACCCAAGTATCCGATGCCTCTGTATCTCCCTGACATCTTTTCATGCTGTGTCACAACTGCCTGTTGTATCAGTAAACCAACGCCTCAGCAATACTGCTAACAAGCCACCCAAAACTGAATGGTGTAAAACAATTGTTTATTCTTGCTCACAAGTCTTTGGGTCGGATGGAGGTTGGCCGACCTAGGTGAGGCTGGGTTAGGCTTGCTCCAAGCTACAAAGGGATCCAAATCCACTCCATGTGTCTCTCATCCTCCTTGGACCAGTGACTTCCTGGGAGATGATCTTATGCGATGGCAAAAATACAGTGTGGGCAAAAGCACTCAAGGCCTTGCCCTGAATGAGCTCACTCTTGTCTGCCCACATTCCACTGGCCAAAGCAAGCCATGTGGCCAAGCCTGCCATCAGCCGGGAAGCCCCTCCACCTCTCGCGGGAGGAGCTGCAGAGTTAGACCAGGAAGGGAAGGAAGAGGCAGCAAGCACGCCATCTGCCCACCTGTTCCTATCTGGCTCCCAGGGCAGGGAAGGCCTGGGGACTGCAGTCTGATCTTCTTCTTGGCCCTCACAGCCTATAGGGTACCAAGTCCCAGGAAGTACCAGGGAATATTTATGACCGAAAGTTCACCAGAGAGTTGGGAGTGCTGAGAAAATCTGGGGGAAAAACTTCCTACCACTGCCCGCCTGCCGACTCCCGCCATGTTCTTGGAGGAGGTTGACTTGTTCCCTGTGGTTGGAACTAATACCATTCTGAATGGCTCATAGAAAACCCAGTGGCTCTCACCTGGCCAGGACCTTTGCACTCTAGAAACCCTCCCTCATCAGCTGGGGCCCATTGGAAGGCATGGGCTCAGAGTTGCAGCCTCAGTCCCCTCGAGCGATGAGGAGCCAGGTGGGTAGTGAAGGGCTGAGGTCTTCCCCTTAGCTGGTGGCTGTCTGGGGCTGTTTGTTCTAAGCTCTCCTGCTTCTACGTGGCTCAGTCCTTCACATGCTTCTGAAATGTGAATGCTTCCTTAACTTGACCTCTAACCCACCCTCAGTTTCACCAGGCCACTTGGTTAGCATAAAGGTCCCACCAGCACTGACCAAGTTGCTCCGTCCTCTTTGGATGCTCACTAGCTTATCACCTCCCCAGCTGTCCTGGCCCCAGCCAGACTCACTAGTTCCCTGGTGAGGATAGGAAAGAAGTGGAGTTCAATACAGCATGTATACCCAACACGGCATCTCCAAATAGTGAGTGAAGTCACAGATGTTCATGCAGGGAGTGATGTACTGGTGACAGTCACTGTGCTGAGTTCTGACATTCCTTCTTCACTTTACCCCTGAGATGCACAGTCGTGCCAATTTTATAGATGATACAATAGAAGAGGTGAAAGAAGTTAAGTAGCTTGGCCAACATGTTACAGCCTGCAAGCCTACAGGGCTGAACTTTTAACCCAGGGCTAGTTATTCCAAAGCCTTTACTCTTCAAAAATATCATTTTTGTGGCAGATGCTACTAGCTTCCTCCCTAATATCTGTCCTGCTTCCCCAGTAACAGGGCCCCTGACCCCTCACTACATTTCCCAACTCCCCTTGCAACTACGAGAGGCCATGTGATGAAACGGAGCTGGTGAAATGTAAGTGGAAATGCATGCTCCTTCTGGGAAGTCTACCTCCACATCTCCCTCGTCTCCCTCCCTGCAGGCTCAGCGTGTGTGCAGTGCATGTGGCAGCTGCACCACAGCCCCCTTCTTGGGCCACAAGGTGCAGACCACTTGTTGGAAGCCATGGGGCAACAAGAGAGAAACATGAGTCCTTCGTGACTCAGTGGAGCTGCCCCCCAGCCCCAGACTCCCTCTTCTATCTATTTGGGCTTCCTGTCACACACAGTCAGACCTAACATCAACTTTCCAGTTCATGAAGGGGCCCCCAGGGACGGAGCACTGCCAAGTCCTGAGTTCTCACGGGCCTTCCTGGCATTCAGCTGTTTCAATGAGCAGTTTCTGCTGAGTGACTCTATGAAGTCAGCTCACCTGAGAGGCAGGAGAAGCTGGGCTGGTCCCCCCTCAAGTGAAAGTGCCCCAAGACTCAGTCTCAGGCTTAGCCTCAGATTAGGTGAAGGTTTGTCACCAGGCTCAAAGTTACTTCTATGCCAGAGAGTCAGGCCAAGTACCTACAGTGGTAGGTGTTAGCTGCAGCTTCACAGGGCTGCAGGGCTGGGGTCCTACATAAATCTAGTCCTAGCACTTCCTTGGTCAGGTGAGAGCAATTGACTATTAAGCCTCTTCTCCCAATCACATGTCTGGTCAGGGTAAGAAGGAGAGATCTTCACTGTGGAGCAGAATCCTTACATGTCCTCCTCGAGTAACGGCCACTCCCCGCCGGCCCCTCAGCCCCTACCCCCAGGTCCCCAGCCAATGGAACTGTCTTGTTTTCTCTTCTTTGATTTTGTCAAAATTGCTGCATTACTGTGACCTCTGCAAGAAGCAGCTTTAGACAATTAATCCACAAACACATAGTGGTGATGATGCTCAGTCATCAGACCCTCAGAGAAAGGCTGGAACCAAAACTGCCACAGTGTGGGAAACAGCTAAGTCTTTGGCAGCCCCGGAGGAAAAAGAATTCGTTTTGCAGAGGTTTACAACAAAATACTATTCTCCTGCCCTATTTTCTTTAAATGTGTCTTTAAATTGCAGACAGTCTGACATTTCTGTTGAATCTCAGTTGACCTTTTTACTGGAAGAAAGAACTAAGAAAGGCAGCTCATTCCTAGTATTTGAGTCGCAATCCTATCCTTTGTTGTAAAATGACCATGTTTCACCACACTTAGCATCAGAAAACAGAGGAATAGGATGAAAAGCAGGGCCAGGTATATGACGCAAACAGCATCTGCCTGGTCTTCACAGCACCCAGGTGACCACTCACTGCCCCGGGCATCTCCTCCTGCACACGGATGGTACGTATGACCTGAGATTTTATAGCTGTTTACTTCACCTTTTAATGTAACTTTGAAAAATTCCAACAGACTAAAAAGTTGAAAGTCTAATATAACACCAGTATGCACTTCACAAAGATGGACTGATTAACATTTTGCTTTAATCTCATTCTCTTTCAGTAGATTGATAATAGGTAGATGATCATTAAACAGACATATATATATGCACATACACATTTTCCCCTGAAAAGCTGAAAGTTGCAGACATCATCAAACTTTACCCCTAAGTACTTCAGAATGCATGTAGGAACATATTTTATTAGCAGATTGAGAACAAACAGGTAAATAAGTGATAGCTCCACAGATACATCTTTATGCATTTAAAAGGAGTTAAATTTCACTCTTTAATACATTTGAATATGTCACTTAATTCACGCAGAAGATTAACCTTTTCTTTAATTCTACCTTCACCTTGTTCCCAAAAGTTTTTGGGCAACTGTCCATCTGTGAGTCAGGCAGTACAGTCATCCAAAACACAAAAGCAAGGAGACACCTTGAATAGTAACAAATCCAGTAGCTATCAGGCCTTACTCACATGACTTAGTCACCTCCAGTTTTGAACATAAATTCCTAAAAACCCAAACACGTTGCTTCGGGCATGCAGCGTAAAACCTTCTGAAACCCATGAGAAAATAAATATTTACATGAACATTTTTACAACTCAAAGCTGAAACAAAATAAAAAGTATTTTGAACTAAATCTCTGGGAAGCACATCATGTTAAGACTTTGGGGGATAATAAAACAGACCCTCTAGTTTCACATACAAAGAAATATACAACCAGGTTTGGGGCAACTTCTGAAGAACCCTTGCTGGGTTCCCCACAAATTGCTTTTGTCCTGCAGAAAGGAGAGAGGCTGGTTCTTCCCCCTCCTTCTGAATTAAGGACATTCAGAGCAGCTCACTGGGACTGTTCCTGGTCTGCGTGCCTGCGTCAAAATGACAGCACCTTGATGCCCTTGACCCTCATGGTGCCTGAAGAGACGGAATGGCTTACTGGAGACCACAGTGCAGGAAGACCCACCTGTGGTGGGACCAGGCAATGGGTCACGGGTGGGTTGAGTCCCAAAGGGGAAAACCTGGAGAGTAAGACTTGGCTCGACCCAGGCTACACACGCCCTTTGTATTTCACCTTCTGCCAATAAGGATCTCTGCTCTCCAAAACCATCCTTTCCCTCTCAACCCTTTTGAACTTGACCAACTTCAGCCCCAAGAACCACTGCCCAAGAGATTCAGTAAATCC